AGAGGCAGGGTTTCCAAATAAAGGACAAAACACTTTTTCTTAGATGTATTTTATAAATATTTTACAAAGAGATCACAGTGCCTGCTCAAAGTGTGCACACAATATTATAAAACTGGTCATTTAGGCTTGTACCTCAGCAGCACAAGCACCTGCCTGGTAAGTGCAAGGTCCTGAGTTTGATTCTGAGTTCGACAAAAAAAAAGTGGTCACTTAAAATCATCTACAGATGTGCACAATACGTGTAAGAAGCTTTCTAAAAATAAGGACAACAAGGATATAATTTGACTCACATAATTCATCTTACTTTAGTTATTAGCTATTCTCTGTAACAAGCTGTCAAACCTTTGTAGATCTTTTGTGAAAGAAAGTCAAATCCTTGAATTTCCATGATTAGTTTTCAATATCCTTATTTCCTGCAACTTCTCAGACAACTTATCATAATCCTCATGTTATTTCACTTGTTTACTTTTACTGATATCCTCTAGGATTCTTTGCCTTCGCCTGAAAATCTAAGAATTCTTGGATCCTATGCTTTTCTTCACAACATTGTCTGGAATCTTAGATCTTTCTCAACAGTCTTGATTATATCTTAAAGTTAACTCATTTATCCAAATTCTACCTACAAATATGACTTGTTTTGAATCTACCTTGCTCAAATATAATTGTTTATATTTATTTTGTTTTTATTTTTTGTTTATTTTTTGGTACTAGGAATTGAAACCAGGACCTAATGCTTGCCAAGCAGGTGTTATGCCACTGAGCTACATTCCTGGACCCTTTAATTGTTTGGAAATTTGATTTTTATTTTTAACAAATATCAGTTTCATTGAATGATGCTGTACAATGGGACATTTTAATAGCATATATTGATGAAAAGTTGAAACAGATACATTTGATTTTTAAAATTGTTTCCCCTTTTTTATTAATATATGTTTGCAATACATAATAAACACTTTCACTGTGGAATTTATTTATACTTTTTATTAACTTTTCCATATCCCATCCTCCCATTTCCCCTATTCTCAGAAGAAAATGAGAAAATAGTTTATTCTAAAGCAAACATGAATAACCTAGGTCCAGAAGCACAGATTTAAATTATCCTGAAAGACTGTTCTGTAATAAGTATTACAGACAGATAACACAAGTGATCATAAGTCAGTGCTTTCAGTGAATACACTGGTGGGGGTATTACACAAGCATGTTAAGAGACAGTAAAATTTAATTACTGGGCTGAGATACCATGTTGCTCAATTCTTAGTGAGAAGATTGTTCACCCAAGGGTTATGCCCTTTTGCAAGTCAATGGCTGGTTAATTCAGCCTTATAGTCATCCTGAGAAGGTTACCTCATGGTCCATCGGGAACCTTACCAGCATCCCCAACTGCCTGAGTGAGGGGTGTGGTGAAATCATAAGATAAGACAGAGACAATTTAGCAATGCATAAAGGGGGTTGGGAGGTCAATGCCTCAGGACGGGAAAGACCAAGACTGTCCAGCTTGCTGTTTTTTTTAGTGCATGTGGACGGGTACTGAGTGATTTGTGGGACAATAATGGCAAAACAATAAAGCATTCTTGCCAGGATGACACAAGGACCAATAATGAATCCGTGATTTCAGCAGGATAAACTATTAGGACTGCTACTACATCGATTTAAAGTGAGCCTTAGCAGGCTTTGGCTTATCCAGTTACATTGTCATTAGGCGTAGGGCTTCAGTTTGGGGAAAGTGGGCAGTTTCCTTGGTACACTCTGGCTCAAAGGGCAGGACAAGGATGGCCTCCAACATCCTCTAGATTCAGTTTACACTTTGTGGCCCCAGACAATGAACTTATGAAAGTTTGGCTGGACACAGAATATCAGGAGTAATAGGAGTAATAGCATTTTTCTAAAGCCATGAAATAGCCTCTCAAGGCTTCCTTGTTTTATATTTTTGAAAAGAAGGTGTCCATCTGGTACTTACTCTAAGAATTCTGCTGTGATATAGTTTACTCAGCAATGATTAATTTCACACATACATTGCAGAATGAGGAAATGAGGCTAATTAATATAACTGTCAGATCAAATATTTATAAGAAAATATTTCAAAGCCCAACTTTTACCATTGTGAAGCATGAAATACATTAACTATAGATACCACGGACTTAAGGGGAAAGTGTGATGTATTATATATGCCACGGAGAAACAGACAAATATTGCATGATATGTTTACATATGGGACCAGAAAGAGTCAAACTCCTCTCCTATAAGGTAAAGGTCAAACCAAGACTGGCGATACAAGTGAGCAGGGATGCAGAAACTTTTGGTCAAAGAGTACAAGTTTGCAGTTTGAGGAATATGTTCTTTCTTTTGTCTGTTTGTTTGTTTTGTACCAGGAATCTAACACACGATCTTGTGCTTGCCAGGCAGAAGCTTTGCCACTGAGCTATTATATCCCCAGCAGCTAGAAGGATGTGTTCTGATGACATTTATTATCTGCCCCTGTAACTCTCTCAAACATTATGAGTTCTCACTTTGTCTACCATATCTAGTAGTTTATTGGCTTATTAATCTATTTTTGTTCCCAAATTTTGATAAAAGTGGGATCATTAAATGAAAAGAGACAAATGAAGCTTACATATTTTTATTGTTCCTGTCAACTACTTTCCCTCGATTATATATTTATGAATGTGCTTGCTAATGATTTTTCCCATGCTTTCTCCTTAGCAATCACACCAATAAGTTTCTAAGGGAAAATATTACTTATCTTTCATAACATGTATACATATATGTAAATCTTTTGGGACTAGATCAGTACCTTTTCCCCAGTACCTCATCCATCTATTCTAGGTTACTCCTGATACTGGTCCATTTTTTGAGACAAATTCTATAAATGCCATATAAATGGATTTGGTTAACAAATGTGAAAATATAAAATATTAGCATTATTCAGTATATTGACATTATTATGTTCCTCACATTTATCTACTAAGTGATTGTGTAGAATTAAGAGCAAAGTTTTTTGTGTTCCATAGATACATAGAAATGATCGATGATAGCTAGCTAGCAAGTTAAATATAGATAAACACACAGACAGATAGATAGATAGATGATAGATAGATAGAGACTTGCGGGGGGTTTACTTGAAAGGAATTTTTTGTTCCTGTGCTTTTCAAGTTTTTATCAGCATAAGGTTACAACACATCATGCTTCCATTCAGCTGGGGGAACTGATCTGTGCATGTATTACATCTTAATCATTTTTAAACCTCCTGCCTTCCCTCCCCTCCTCTCCCCCTCCTTCCTCAACTCTCCTTCCTGTCTTTACAGTCTGCCTTCCTGTTTCCTAGCATGTCTCTTATTTTGCTTTTTAAATTATGTGTACTTTGAGTTTCTTATGTTACACAAACTACATAATATTTAATCTTAATTCTATGCTTGTTCTTAACTGTGTGTTTGACTTCACTGCAAAATGAATTAAATGAGGCAATTTAATACATTGTGACTTCATTTTTCTTATTCATTCATCTATAAAACCTGATTTCATCGCTCTGACAGATATTGATTTTAAATATTTTTATCCGTGTTGAGATGATAGAAATATTGTAAATAGGTAGCTGAGATTAAATACTTAAAATGTTCCTTTGATACAGATAAGATAGTTTTAACAAATATCTTGGACTTGTGCAGCATTACTTAGAATAAAAGATTCATAAGAAATATTAATCTTAGGTATTAAAATAATTAATGAGCAATTTTTCTAAATCACACTAATAGCATAAATTAAAATTAGTTGAATAATCTGTGCCAAGTATATAGATTCAGAGTCTAGAAATCTATTATTAAAAATCTTATAGCATACTAAAGTTAGTCATTGACTAATGAAATTAAAGTTTATAAATCTAGATAGTGATTTTTATAAAGCAACATGGAATGTAATTGTTATTATTACTAAAAAATTATAAAATATTTTTGGATCCCTTTGCCTAATGCTAGATTATCCTGCTGACTCAAGAAATGTCAGGTCAATAAATACAATAAGCTTATCACATGTTTTTTCAAAAATTATTGAAATTATAAGCAATTCCACATATTAAAAACTACATAGTATTTTTACAAACATTTCATCATGAAACAAAATTTTAGCAAATCCAAGTGCATTGAATTCCATTATATGTTTAAAATACTAGCAATACAGATTCCATTATAATCTCCATTTTGCTCACTAATTTGTTTTCAATATTAGAAATTATTTAAAACAATAAGAAAAAACAACTTCACAATACATTAGTTGGATTTCAGCTAATTGTTCTATTTTGCAATGACTCAGTGTCAGAAAAAAGTAAGTGACTAAAGTGGGTTACTTGAAAGATTATGTGGATATATTTATTCTGTACATGTACTATGAGAGACACACATTTCTAAAAATCTGCACGAGGAACACTTATTTCAAAATAAAATAAAATTCACGGTTTTCAGAGCTTGATCTTAGAGATAAATTAATTACTTAAATATCATAATTTCTGAACTAGCATTTTTAATCTAAAATTATGTGTTCTAAGCACAGATTTAAGTAAACGCATTAAAATGCTGTTCAAAATGAGAATCGTTTATTAAACATCTTACACAATGCTATGTGGTAGTGAAAACATTGAGACACAGAAAACCAAAAAGATAATCTTTTTTTCGAAAACTTAGATGTTGAATATGTGAGTGTAAGGAAAGACTAAAACAAAACAAATAAATGATGCATCAAATTCTTTTTCAAGCATTATAAGGTCCCTATAGAATAAGTGGGCACTGAAACATAATAGCATTACCACCAAAATCTTTATTAAAACTGAATGGCTCTGTGTTGTACTGAAAAATGAGATAGCACTAACGTTGAGTTCTATCTGCTGTGCAGAACAGAGAACATTTACAAGATATAATGAAACAAGAGTCTCTTTAAAAATACATGAAGGACAAATGTGTTTTCTTTATGAGCGCCACAAATTTGATGCACATTCTAATTTCTTTCTGTTGTAGCTTCCAGGGTTCCATTGATCTTGTGGCGTGGGAGGCTGTTATGGTGTGAGTCTGTTACCAGGAGCTACATGACAGCATGGATTAAGTTGTGCTTTGGGAAAATGAAAGCAAGTGAGATGCATATTTGTTTTTCTTTTTTACCAACACAAACTTAAGTATAGTAATGTCCAGGAATCCTGTCACATTAACCGGTTTAACTTTTTCTCATCTTGTCTCCTCTTTTCTTCCCTTCTGTCCCTCCCTCCTTTCCACCATTCCTTTCTTTCTCCTGAGTTAATACAGGAACTTCTACGTTTGTAGCACACATAGGTCTGTTAGAAGGAGCAGCTGTTAGAAATGGATGCACTGTAAACTTTATCCTTGAGAAATTAAAGAGAAACACATGTGAGAAAAATGGAATTGCAAGAGCCACTGGGATGGGGACTTCCGGAAGAACATGGCAGATAGATAGCAGCAGCTACAGAGGCTCTCTGAGATACCCCACCTAGAATCCAGGAATGGGGCAATCTGAGGAGTCCTAAGCAAGGAGGGATATACCCTGCCAACCCAGGAATGAACTAAGCTAAGAGAAACCAACTGGAAATGCAATCCCGGTGCTATAACAGGAAGAGATAAAATCTCAGCGCAGAAGCTGGAACCTGTGCCATTGGAAGCTGCAATTTGAATTTCCTGCTGCCACTGCTGTGTCCAAATCGGCATGTCAGGAAGAGAGACACGTGAAAACTCTGAGAGTGGGAATCAGCAAATGGAGTTGAGAATGGGACTGGTGGGGAGCCCTGCATCGACCTGTGGTGAGTGAGTGGAACGGAGACCCTTCCATAGAGTAGGAGGCTTCAGCAAAGGACATACTGGGACCAGGCAGACTTGCCAGAACAGGACGCTGCAGTGTCCTTAGTCGCATATTCCCCTCTCAAGCGGGATTGGTGGGGAGTGCCTGGCCTGGGGGACGTCGCTGACTAAGACCCAGTAGGCTAGCCCAAACCAGGTCCTAGCGCCCGGAGGTGCACCCTAGCAGTGAAGCCTTTGGTAGGTTGACCTGGAGGGGCGGGCCCAGCAGACGCTGCCCAGCTCTGTGTCTCCCTAGTACACTGCAGTGGGCGGGAACACCTAGCTAGCACAATTTAAACAAACTGTAACAGACAAAGAGAAAAAAAAACTGGGCCTCCTATATTCACTTGTATGGAAGGAAAAAAAGTATGGGAAGACGAAGCAACAAGAAAGGGTCCTCAGTCCCCAATCCTGAGAACACTGATCCAGGAAAGGTGAATGCAAAGGAGAATGAGGACAGAAAACATGCAGTATCAGACACGGCACCAATAGACATAAAGCGATATCTCTGGAGCCTCATAGACGAGTTCAAAAGAGACGTTTTTAACGAAATAAAGCAAGATATAAGTACAATAGTTAGAGAAATGCTAAGCACCACCCAAGAAAAAACAGATGGTGGAATGGAAGAACAGAAAAAAAGGGAGAATTGTTTGATGGAGAAAATAGAGAAAACAGAATACGTGAAGCAGGTTCAAAAAGATTATAAGGAAACTAAAAACTCTATTGAAAGCTGGCATTGTTATGAAAGAAACTAAGGATAGATTATCTGAACTGGAGGACAGATTTGTAATGTGGGAGCATGAAATGAAAAACTTCTTAAAAATAACAAGAAAACAAACAGCAATAATACAAAGGCTAGAAGATGATAAGATCTATAACTTAAGAACATAAAAAGAAGAAGTAGGGACACAAACAAATGGACTACAAAAGCTATTCAAAGAAATAATCCAAGAGAATTTCCCTAATTTAGCAAAAGCTAAAGATACTCAGATGTATGAGGCATACAGGACCCCAGCCACCTACAACCCAAACACAGCTACACCCAGGCATATAATAATCAAAATTCCAGAAATCCAATATAAGAACAGATTACTAAAAGCCATACAAGACAAGAAACAGATCACTTACAAGGGAACATCCATCAGAATTACAGCAGACTTCTCGGCACAAGCCATCAAATCACGAAGAGCGTGGGGGGAAATAATTCAAGCTTTGAGAGATAATAACCTCCAGCCAAGATTGATATATCCTGCACAACTGTCCCTAGAAATTGATGGAAAAACAAGGTGCTTCCAGGATAAAGAGGAACTAGCAGAATTTGCAACCACCAATTCAACTCTACAGAGAATACTGCAGGACATTCTAAAAAAGAAAAATACCAAGATTCCAGAAACAATGGCAGAGAGGCCACAATGAATGCAGCAGAAAGCAAAATGAAGAAGACAAACTGACAACTAATGACAGAAAAAGAGCTCAACAGAAATGAGGCCAAGAATGTTGGATGGCAGGAATGGCTATTTTGGAGAAAACAAGATATCATAATAGCTAGTGCTGATTTAGTATCATCTTGCTTTGAAGTCCCATCAAGCTTTTATTCTTCTGTCTCCATTCGTCTTAACAGGTTGTATCTTATTGGATTTTATTATATGTGATAATATAAGCAAAAATTTTTATAGACAAGGAGATTATATAGAAACCATTGTTCATTTTCTGATAGTTGGTTCTAAATATCCTGTAATACTGTCATTCTCTTGAATGGTTTTACATTGTCTCGATATATTTGGTGCTACAGTATGAAGTTATACTCAAAGATTTCAAGGAAAGAGACACTATGGTAACTACTTTTATGTCAGGATATCTTATGGTGAAACAGTATTTTGCTTAAATGGTTATGCTTTGACCTGTGCTGTTTTGTTGTTATGCCCTCTTTTATCTCAATCTCCTTTTTTTAATTATTTACTTTTTTCTTTTTAATTAAGGGAAAAATAAATAAAAAATAGCAGGATATATTATAGTAACCCACTTTGATTTCCTATTAACTTGATTTGAAACCCTGAATTGCCCTCACCATCTTGTTTTGACTAGTTTTCCTCTATTCTGCTTTGCTTGAAAGTACCAAGTTCGAAAGTATAGGCAACAACTGTGAAGACAATAAGATTTATTATGAAGCCCATTCCAGTTGACTATTACCTTGTTTTAAAGTCCTGTAATGTCTCCAATGTTTTGGTTTTATTTTTTACTGTTTTGGTCAATTTTACTATAACTGATGATATAGGAAATTCTTTTTAAGATAGCAAAGGCAGTATGGTAACCATTGTTGATCACCTTGTGTTTTGTTTTTACATTATTATGTCCATCCTTTTGATTTGACTGACTCTGTTCTGGTATGTTACATTTGGTTTTACTCTTTTCAAAAAAAAGTAATAAGAACTGTGGGAGTAATAAAACCCAAAGTGTGTAATAGTCATTGTACAAAAGAAAGGAAAATAAAGTGCTCTAAAGGATATAACTGCATATATATTTAAGTGTATAAGATAGATAACCATATCACTGAGTTTTGTTGAATCATTGAACAAAACTGTTTGCAGTCTCGCTGTTTGAATGTCCACTTTACATGCTTTAATTTTGTCACTACAACTATTTCTAAGGTGACAATATGTAATCTACTAACTAGTGATTTCCTACTGTTTATTCTTTCTGAAATTCTATATAACTTGTACCCTTTTTCTGTTTTATTTTTTTTTCTCCTTAAATAAAATTTTTTAAAAAAGAGCCACTGGGACTTTTCTTTAGTTGTTTTTATTCTTTGGAACTAGAGATCAAACTCAGAGCTTTTTCATTGAGTTGAATCTCCAGTCCTTCTCAGCCTTTCTTTCTTTCTTTTCTTTCTTTCTTTCTTTCTTTCTTTCTTTCTTTCTTTCTTTCTTTCTTTCTTTCTTTCTCTCTTTCTTTCTTTCTCTCTCTCTCTCTCTTTCTTTCTTTCTTTCTTTCTTTCTTTCTTTCTTTCTTTCTTTCTTTCTTTCTCCCTCTCTCTCTTTCTTTCTTTTCTTCCCTCCCTCCCTTCCTCCCTTCCTTCCTTTCTACCTTCCTTCCTTCCTTCTTTCCTCCTTCCCTTTCTTCAATCATTTTTCTGAGAAAATCACTCTATAAATTTCCCAGAATAGACATAAATTTATGATCTTCCTGCCTTAGTATCCTTAGAGCCCTAGAGTTGGACTTATGCACTGGCTAGCCTTTTAAAATAATTTTTTATTATGCATACATAGTGTTTGTGTTTTGTGAGAAGGAAAGAAAGTATCATTTCTTATACGTGGCTCTGTTACTTTGTGACAGGTCATTCAGAGACACTGTGCTCTCTTTCCATGATTGCTTAACATCTTTGCTATAGTCTTCCTCTCATTTCAAACTTCCTTGGCTGACTTTTCTTTCTTCAGGAATATCTAGGAAACATGTACATTCACACATTTTGAGAAAGTTGCAGTTGTGCAAAATACTGTGACCTGTACTGTGAGATTTCAATTTTATTGACAGGGATCCACCTGGAGATTGAGGAGCACACATTGTGTCTGGATATAGAATGGAGGCGCGGATTTCAGGTCAGTGTCTGGTTTTCTCTCTTCCTCTCTCGCAATGTTCTTCCGCTCTGCTTCCCTGTTGCCAGGACCTGAAAAGCATTACTCAACTTCACCTTCCCTGCATGGTGCCATTCAAACATGAACCAAATTCTCTAAATTCTGAGCCAAATTCAACTTCTCCTCCCTTACATTGCAGATGTCGGGTACTGCATCCCAGCAAAGGACAAGTCAATGAAAGTCACCCGGCTCTCCTTGGCTCAGTCTACCTCTACCTTTTGAATCCTTTTGAATCAGGTGCCCAGCCCCTCTCCTAGACCCCAGTATGCAGGCCGTGCTGTTTCCCTCTGACATTACCTTTGACGGGCAGATCCCTCTGTGACATTCCTTTCCCGATATCTTAAGGCTTCTTCTGCATTTTCAAGACCCGCTCTGTGTTTCCCCCTTCTCATCCTCCTTAGCTTCCTCTCTCTAACTTTCTCAGGTGAACTAAACTTTGACTGTTTTATGGGGTTTTTACAATTGCATTTTGTTTATACCAAGAACATGAGCTCTATCACATTTTTTCAATATTTATAGCCTCTGTTGGTTAGCCTGTTCAGTCATGATTTTTATACATAGAGTTATTGTAATTCTTATTTCTCTCAGGAAACAAAATAAAACAAAACCCCAAAAGTCAAATTACTTCCTTATATTGCCTTCCACTTCCCCTGCTCTGAGGTATCAAAGTAAACACTGGATATATTTTTTCCTATGCTTCTCTCAGGAAACATTGGTTGAGTAGCTACTGAATAACAGAGCTGCACTTCTCTTGGAGATAGTAATCTAACAGTAAAAAAAGGCAGAACATCTGTCTTTTAAGGGCTTCCAATTTTGCATGATAGATAGTATGTACCTAGAGATAAGTTCACTATTCACTATAAAAAATCAACTTTTGCAATGTGAGCTATATGGGCAATATTAAACTTTTAAATAACTGCACAATTAGTATGAGCAGATAACTAGAAAAACAAAGAGTTCTGCAGCAGTAAATTTCTGTCACTTATTAAATGCGTCACTCATCAAGTACAATTAAACTGGGTTGGAGCTATAACTCAGTGGTACAGCTGTTGCCTACCATGTGTGAGACCATGAGTTCAATCACTAGCAATGAAGGAAAGATTGAATTATCTTCCTTATGTCTAATTAATTGTGCCTGATAATACTATGTTTTATCTCTTGTTTAGATTATGAATTCCTAGTACAGCAGTTTTCTTCCTGGAAGATTTAATTGCCTTTGATTTTACTCTGTTTCTTGCTTGTTGGTTGATGTCTCCAGGAACAATTATCATTGATACATCACTATGTTGACCTTCTTCTAAGTAATTTTATTTGTTAAGAGGATAATATTTGGCAAGCTTGTTTCTTAAGACAAAAATCTAGTTCTTTTAAATGAACTTTGGGCCTTTCCACAGTTTACTGATTCCTTTAAAAAACCTTGTTTAAATTACTGTATGTTTGTAGCAAATAATGATCACATTCATCACAGAGAGGCAGTACATGTACATAAAACATGTTAATTCATTATCTTCCCTTTTCTTTCAATTCTTTGATTTCTTAAATTATTAGAGAACCTCAAGTATACCTGAAAATAAGAATTTTCAATGAGTGCCCATTTCTTTGTCTTTGAAGTTAAAAACTGTTGATTTTTGGTTCAGACTTGACTGAAAGTTTATCTGGGAATGGAACTGAAATTTCAAAGCAACTTTCAATCACCATATAGTCAGAAGATACTTAAGTATTTTATTTAAAAGTTCAGTTTTGCAGGAGAGAAAATGTTTCCATTTTTAATAGACCTCTTTAAATTCCAACTTTTTCTGAACAATAAAAGAAATATTTATCACAGTCATCATTTATTCTTGTGGTAGCCAGTATGCTATGTCTACTGGATGTTATGTGTCACTGCTGATAACAAAGGTGATAATACTTATTGACTCATATTAACATTTAAGAAATAAAGCCAAATCTGTTCTCTACTCTTGTCTTCCAGTTCTAAAAGTTTCATCCATTTGAAGCTCAAAGTTATTATAAATCTTCAGTAGACATGTATTTAATACTTTCGGCTTTCCAGAAAGTCAGCATTCTACATCTATGCGTAAAGGCGTGAACACCTTACTTTCAATAAAGTGAGTGTTGTAGAGACAAAACTCATCTTCCAGAGCTAACTCACATCACTGTGCTTTTTCCAGTATTCTGTCAGTACTAACCCTAAAATATCTTGCATCATGTATTTGTCTACATCTTCCTGTATATTCATTCTAATATGCTAATATTCTAAAATTCATATTCAGCAATCCTCAGATCTCACCAGAACCTATAATAACATTATTTTATCATCCTCACATTTTTCCATCTTCTTTATCTTTACTTTCAATATTCTTACTGCTTCACAGCTTGATTAATTTCGATAGTGATCATCATCAACCTCTGGAATAAAAGCTCACCACTGTGCTTCTGGTTTATCAAACTCTTGTGGCTAAAACCCAACCCATGTTTAAAATGCATCGGTCTACCAGTTCTGTGTCTCAGCTAAGCATAGCTAAAAACAAAAATATAGAACTGTTTATCCACCCTCCCGTAAGTGGCCATCAATGTCTTTCAGTTTAGAGATTTTTGTCTAAGCTGTTCTAGGCCTTGGATTCCCTTCACTCATTTTGGATATAAGTCACTCGCCCACACTCTGGCTGTCTTTTCAATATCATTTCTTGTAGTGGCCCAGCCCTACAGACTAAAATGTTAAAGCAGTGTGCTCATATTCTCTTTTATATTCATATATTCTATTTCATATTGTCTTGTCTTATGAAATCTAGTTCTTTTAGTTCA